CGCTTTGCCTTTCAGGTTTGGGGCTGAGCTCCCGAGCCCCGGTGGTCAGCACCTCGGAGTCCAGCACTGGCACCAGCACCCCCTCCACGCCCACCTCCACCAGCCAGAGCAGACTCATCGCCTCCTCGCCCACCCTCATCTCAGGGATCACCAGCCCCCCTCTCCTGGACTCCATCAAGACAATCCAGGGGCACAGCCTGCTGGGGGCGCCCAAGGCAGAGCGGGGGCGGAAGAAGATCAAGGCCGAGAACCCGTCGGGGCCACCCGTCCTGGTGGTGCCCTACCCCATCCTGGCCTCGGGAGAGACCGCCAAGGAGGGCAAAACCTACAGGTTGGCTCCTACCCCAGCAGGCTCCTTCTGTCCCAGGAGCCCCGGGCTGCAGGAAAGCTTCCCACAGGCCTGCCGGGCGCTCCCCTAGCAGGGCCCCGGCAGGGGAACGGCCCCTTTCTGGTCTGGGGCCGCCCTCCAGCCTCCGTTTGGCCAGGCCTCGCTGCGCCAGGGTCCCACCCTCCATGCCCCCTGTCCCCCGCCGGGGTAGCACGGGCCTGGCATGCAGGGTTCATGTCCCAGCGCTGGGAGGGAGCCGAGGCCACTGACTAGAACCAGGGAGTGGGAATCAGGGGTGTGGCTCTGACGTGGATTCCCTGGGCATGTTGGGCCGCCCTCCAGCCTCCGTTTGGCCAGGCCTCGCTGCGCCAGGGTCCCACCCTCCATGCCCCCTGTCCCCCGCCGGGGTAGCACGGGCCTGGCATGCAGGGTTCATGTCCCAGCGCTGGGAGGGAGCCGAGGCCACTGACTAGAACCAGGGAGTGGGAATCAGGGGTGTGGCTCTGACGTGGATTCCCTGGGCATGTTGCTTCTGTGACTCAGTTTCCCCCCGGGTGGAAATGGGGGCTCACAAGTGCCTGTCTTGGGGGGCTGAAAGGCCACGATCCTGTGGCTGCTGACATCCTATGGCTGCTCCCACAGTGCTAGTGGGAGGAAGTTGGCTCCTCCCTCCAGGCCCCACATTGCTGGCCACTGCTGTGGGTCCCCCTGGCTAGCTGCTCAGCCCCACCCCGCTGGCTCCCCATGGACGTCCCAGCGCCAGCCGAGCAGGGGAGGGGAATCGGACAGGTCGGAAGCCAGGCCTGGCGGGTGTAACTGGGCCATGCCGGCCGGACCTGAGGTACTCCTGGGGCAGGCTCATGCTCAGCGCTACGCTCAGGCCTCAGCCCCGCTGGCACCGGCAGCATGCAGGGCTGGGGGGGGGACGTGCTGCTTGTGGGGCCCTCACCTGCTGCCCCCGGGCCCCTCTCGCTGTCCCTCCCCAGGTGTAAAGTCTGCCCCCTGACCTTCTTCACCAAGTCGGAGATGCAGATCCACTCCAAGTCGCACACAGAGGCCAAACCCCACAAGTGCCCGCACTGCTCCAAATCCTTCGCCAACGCCTCCTACCTGGCCCAGCACCTGCGCATCCACCTGGGCGTGAAGCCGTATCACTGCTCCTACTGCGAGAAATCCTTCCGCCAGCTCTCCCACCTCCAGCAGCACACCAGGTGAGGGAGCACCGCAGGGCCAGGGCGGGAGCAGGGGGCCTGCCTCAGCACAGCCCCGTGCAGCTAGGGAGCCGTAGCTGTGTCGGTCCCTCTGCCCTCCTACTGGCCCTGCGGTGCTGTGCGTGGGAGGAGGACGTAGCCCCAAATGTCCTGCACCCACCAAAAGTGCCAGGCACTCTGAGATACCGGCCTCAGGAGTCCCAGAATGCACTGGGGTGCCACAGACTGGGCAGGCCACTGCAGTACCATCAGGGGCTTGGTCTAGAACTAGATCATTGAATGCCCTGCGTAAAAATTCACCTACATCCATGTGCCCTAGGTCTTGTGGGCTCTAGATCTGCCCTTGCACCAGTGTGTGTGCAGTGCCCCTGCTCGGCACGGGAAAGTTCACGTGCCTGTGGCGCTGGGTCTGCCCTTGCACCTGTGTGTGTGAGAGCAGTGAACGTGTGGCACGTGCCTCTGCAATGCACGGGAAGGTTCACATGCCTGTGGCGCTGGGTCTGCCCTTGCACCTGTGTGTGTGAGAGCAGTGAACGTGTGGCACGTGCCTCTGCAATGCACAGGAAGGTTCACATGCCTGTGGCAGTGGGTCTGCCCTTGCACCAGTGTGTGTGCGCAGTGAACGTGTGGCATGTGCCTCTGCAATGCACAGGAAGGTTCACATGCCTGTGGCAGTGGGTCTGCCCTTGCACCAGTGTGTGTGTGCGGTGAGCGTGTGGCATGTGCCTCTGCAATGCACGGGAAGCCTCAAGTGCTGAAGCCAGATTCTGCCTGTGAATGTGCCTGGCCTCCCTTTTGCATGGAGCCGGGGCATCTCACTGACTGGCCCTCCCCCCTTCCCCCCTCCCCTTTCCCTTGGAGTCCCGCTGTCTAGGTCTGCCAGGGCTGGTCCCTCTGCTGGACGGTCTGCCGGGGGCTCAGAGCATGGCCAGCTGCCCGGCTGATGGGCCCAGGAGCACCCTGCGTGTCCTGGGTTCTTGTACCTCCCTCCGGAGGGAACGAGACCAACTCCACGATCCTGCTGAGCAGGAAGCAACTAACTTGTGGGGAGGTGCCAGGGCTGTGGCAGGGTCTGTCTCCCCCGCCGCGTTTGCTCAAGTGACTTCTGTCGTCTGCTCTCCCACCGCTAGGCCTGCTGGCCCTGCCCGCGCTTGTGTGAGGTGCCAGGACTTCCGCGGGCACGGTGCTGCGGGGGCTGGGCAGGCCCGGGAATCCTGTCCCAGGGGATTGAGGGAGAGGGGCCGGAGTGGGCAGACCTGGCAGCACTGAGTGGCACTCGGCAGGGCGTGACGCGTGGTGGCTGGATGTGTGGCAAACAGGGCAGTCAGGCTGTAACTCCTGGGAAGGGAAGGGAAGGGAAGGGAAGGGAAGGGAAGGGATGGGGGGGGGGGGCGGGGGGGGGTCCGTTTCCTTTGCTTTACTGGAGGGGCTGCCCTTTGGGGGCTGAGCCCCTTGGTCCCTGAGCGGGGCTGCCTGGTACCCCGCGGGGGGGGGGGCTCCCCTGCCGGTTGCTGTGTTGCAGAATTCACACTGGCGACAGACCCTACAAGTGCCCGCATCCTGGCTGTGAAAAGGCCTTCACGCAGCTCTCCAACCTCCAGGTCAGCGCCTGGCGGGGGCCGAGCCTTGTGGGGGTGGGGGGAAGCAGAGAGCTCTTGATGGGCCTGGGGGACAGAAGAGAACAGGCTGCGGGGGGCTGGGGAGGGGAGTCAGCCCTGGCCTAGGCCATGCAACTGGGCAGTGGAGGGGAAGCGGGCGCCGTGTCCTCCGCCCCAG